AGATATCCAAAGCACGATTTAATTTCTCTCTACGAATTAATTTGCACTAAAAAATTAAGTCTTTCAACAATCTGATGATAGCATTAAAGTAAACATTTCTTTTATTATCAAGCATTTGATTTTTGAATCATCTTTGCATATGAAAGAATTTGAATATTCTGCTATTATTTTTATTTATTTCGTCTTTCCAAATTTTCAATTTAAAATCAAACAGGTAATGTGTTCGTACATTCTAAGCTAGTCCTTTTGATAATTTACTCTGTTCTAAGTGATATTTCCTTCAATTTCTGATAGTGGAGTGATAAGTTTTAATAAATTTGTTCACAATTTTTAAAAATTATAAATAATTTATTCGTTGCAAAAATAAACATCTAATCTGAAATTTTTTATTCCTATTGTTACCAAAAATGAAAAAAAAAGGGCGAACAAAAAATAAAAATTGTTGACAAATGGCATACAATTATTTGCTACTCATTTAGTAAATGTTGATAAAATTCTCTCAAAGTAAGAAATCAAATTCGTATGGTTATGGTATACTGTAACATACAGATATGTTATGATTATAGTGTACTGTAAAATACAGGAATATTCTTGGAGTTGTGGCATGCTGAAACATACAGATATATTATGCCTTTCTTCGAGGATTGTTATTTTACCTCTATCGAGATACTTTTGAAATTAGATGAGGTATTTTTTTATAGAATTTTGAAAAATCATTTTTATATGCATTAAATAAAATTAGAAGAAAAGTTTGATTAATTCAAATAAACTAGTTTTGACTAAGATATCATGTATATCTTTGTTTGTCATATGTACACTGAATCATCTGATCATATCATGATAAGATCTTAGATTACTTAAAATATTTTTTTGGCAGGACATTCTTGCTATAGTTTTATCCATAACCCTAAGTTATACATGTTTTTCTGTAGTTAAATTGTTTTTCAATTTTTTAACTTCATATATTTAAACAATTACAGAATTATTTGTTTGCCTATGCTCAATTGATATTTATCCTGCTCGATGCTTGATGGCAATTATTGAATCACTGTTATTCATTTATGTTCATTATTCATGATTCGTGATATCATGCTTTTGTTCGTATTATCAGTTGTTATCAGTGGATCTACATCATTCAGGCAGCCAAATTTTCATGATAATGCATGGAATTAGTATATATAGTAAGGAATGGATCATGCTAGCAATTTTTCGAACTAAGTCAAATCATTTTGCTCAGTCTACTGTTAGGTAAGAAATGGTTTCGACAATCCGGTTGGTCCGGTTGATTTTTGTCAATCTTAATATAACAGATTGTTTGTTGGAAGATAAAGCTTGATCAGATGATATCATAAATAGCCTATCAATGTTTTAAATGATCTTAGTGGTACTTACTTCATTGTCCTTTACATTTGTCCCTTCTGGAAAAAGATTCCAAAAGTTAAAATTGGAAAAGAGTTACATCATGTAAATGCTAGAAGTTTACCAGTATAGTAGCGATAATTTGTTGATGTTTACCGAAGGATTTTCTGGGGTATCTTAATATATTATTTGGCTTACATAAATTGATATATAATGGATGTGGCGCTTTAAACGGTATAGCCTTTTGGCTAATTCATTTAACTACTTCCAACTATTAGAAATCTAAGTAGTGCCTAAACCAAACTGTCATTAGGATAGGATAGGTGTGCTCACATAAAATGAGTGTAAGCTTGGATTTGGACATCATTGTTAGTATCACTTCAAAAACCATCTTGCCAATCATTCTCAATTGAATCTCTGAAAAAAAACTTTTAAAACTTTAAAAATTATAGAAAATACACTAAATCACTCTTTCTTTCTGTAACTGATCCAACCGTTATCACTTAATACTTGTACATTTACATTTGTAGGTAACAGAATGATAAGTACAACTCAGATTATTGTACTAATAGGGTGAATTATTAAAAAAAAGTTCCACATATGCTAATTAATACGGTAAAACAATGATTTTTCCAATATTATAAATCAAATTGGTAATGAAATTTTTCTTTTTCAACAACATACTTGAACTTTTGAAATTGAATCCGATCGATCACATTTTATGTTGAGTATGGAATACTCCATATTATTGGTCTTTAAAAAGTCCTGCTAAATTTATCATTGAGCAATATTTTTCAAGACATTTGATTGTGTTGTCCCAATGAATGAAGTACGATACTTTTCATCCAGATTGATAAGGATAGCATCATGAAGTAAACAAAGATCACCAACAATATCTACCATTTAGAAAATATGAGTAAATTGAAATTCAAATATTATCATTTAAAAATTAACAATTCTTTTTTTATTATTTTTTGCATTGAGAAATTTGTAGAAAAATTATTCAGCACAAATGAGCATATTTGAACGATATGAACAGGTCAACAACGTTTTGGTCAAGAATAAGTATCGGTGAGGATGGTTGAACGAATGAATGGTAATATCAAACGAACGGACTATTCGTTCGATTTTTGAAAATTTCCATCTATTCGACAATGCCTTCTAAAACCGAGATTAACAGCAAAAGAGGAACTGGT